TGTGTGTGTGAAAAAGTATATGTTATAAGAGTGTATGAATGAAACGTGAATGAATTTTACAAAATTGTTAAAATATATGTTTATTATTTTGATGAATGTGTGTGAAATAAAACATTATTTTACTCTTTGTTGTGTGTTTGTATTGTGATTTAAGGGTAATAATTATGTTCTTACACAAGAAGTAAATATTGTAGCAAATGAGAAGGCAAGAATAAGTTGGTGCACGAGAAGGATATATTTAGCTATATATTTTTATTTTTAGTTATGTGTGCAAATGCCTAAGAGAAAATTAAATTGCTTAAAATGTATGTGAATGTTAAGGAGTACCAAACACAAATTTTGATTAGGTGACTTATTTCAAGCAACTATTTAGTTGTTTATGTGATTAGCACACTAATATTTGACTACTTGAAGTGACCATTATCTCCATTTAAATGAGTTCACTTAATTTGATTGAACTCTTCTTTTGTCTTAAGGAAATCTTCAACTTCACTTAAGCATAAGCTCAATTTGTGAGAGTTGCGGGCACCATCACAAGATATATATATATATATATATAAATAAATCATAAGTGATTGTACACCCTTCGTTAACATAATACACTACAAATTGCTTATATTTTTTAATAATACAAAACACTAACAATTATTGATCATTTTTAGGTAGCTATTATAACTATTTTATTTATTAAAAAATATAGAAGTTTCCTTTATCTACCAATATTTTAAAAAATAACTAGACACACAAATTATTAGACCACATGATTAATTGGGTATGTGATTGTTTACTTTGTTTCAAGATTAAAATATAAAGCTTAGGACTTGGTGATCACTGATCAATATTATTAATAAATAATAGTTTTTTAATATACATATCATATCATCTTACAATTTTATATTTTTATATTTTTTTTAAAATATATATTATTGTTTATCCTTTTAAATATAATTAATTTCACCATGAATAAAAATATAACAATTCACAACAATTTTTTACATTTTTTCACTTTTTATAATTTTAATATAAATTTTAACTATATTTTTTAATAATTATTATGATAAATATTTTTTTATTTTTATGGTAAAGCAAAAGGGGACAGGGGCATAGTTACCTATGTTTTTCCTGGTATTTAAGAAAACCAATGAACAAATTGATACATAATCTCTCACGTTGTTTTAAGTTCTAGGGCTTGCGCTGCCCCTAATGCTTCTGAAGAAAGGAACAAACCAATCTATAATCTCTTACTTCATTCTGCTATTGAAAAATAGAGACTAGGGTTTGCAGAAACCCTACGCAAAGAGCAAAAATCCTCTGCAGCGAACAGAAATCTACTCCTCTAACTCTAGAGCTCTTGCGTTAATCTTTGCAGCGACCAGAAATTCTTTCCTCAAATCCTTGACATGGATATTCGATTTCCGTTCTCTCCGGCGGAGGTCGCCAAAGTCCGGATGGTTCAGTTCGGAATACTCAGTCCCGATGAGATCGTAATAAACCCTAAGCTACTATCTAATTCTTTCACTTTGTTTCGAAATTTCTCGAATGAATGTAAATGGATTCGAGTGTTTCTTTCCAGTTTTGTGGTTCTATGAAGTTGATGATTGGTTTATGTGTGTCTTTCAGAGACAAATGTCTGTGGTGCAAATTGAGCACGGTGAGACGACGGAGAGAGGGAAACCGAAGGTTGGAGGATTGAGTGACCCTCGACTTGGAACTATTGACAGAAAGCTCAAGTGCGAGACTTGCACGGCTAGTATGGCTGAATGTCCTGGCCACTTTGGACACTTGGAGCTTGCTAAGCCAATGTTTCACATTGGGTTTTTAAAGACAGTGTTGACTATAATGCGTTGTGTTTGCTTCAACTGCTCTAAAATTCTAGCTGACGAGGTATTTTTGCAAGTGGACTTTGCATAATATTGACTTAGTTATTTAGGTTATGGGAAATGAGAAAATAGAGGAATCTGAGTTCCATTGGTTGTGAATTGTGGTCAATTGGAGTTTTTGTCTGTTTAGTAGAAGGAGAGGGGAATTTGTTGTTCCAATTATTGTTTAATCTTCTATTTTGTTAGTGTAGTAGAATGAAATCAAATGTTTTTTATTTTTTTAAGTTGATTGCCTTTTATGCAGAATGATCACAAATTTAAGCTAGCTTTGAGGATCAGGAATCCCAAGAACAGGCTGAAAAAGATTCTGGATGCTTGCAAAAACAAAGGCAAGTGTGAAGGGGGAGATGAAATTGATATTCCTGGACAAGATACCGATGAACCAGTTAAAAAGAGTCGCGGTGGCTGTGGTGCTCAGCAACCAAAGATTACGATTGAGGGGATGAAAATGATTGCAGAGTACAAAGCTCAAAGGAAAAAAAGTGATGACCAAGAACAGCTTCCTGAACCTGTAGAGAGGAAACAGACCCTTTCTGCAGAAAGGGTAATTTTTCGTAATTCTGGATATTTAGCATGAGCACTTTTACGATCACTGTTGCAGGAATTGATGTAGTTGGTGACTTGTTATATCTGTTGAAGGTTCTTGGTGTTCTGAAAAGGATAAGCGACGAGGACTGTCAGTTGTTGGGCTTGAACCCTAAGTATGCCCGTCCTGACTGGATGATTTTACAAGTTCTTCCAATTCCTCCTCCACCTGTGAGACCTTCTGTGATGATGGACACATCCTCTAGGAGTGAGGCAAGTTTTTTATGTTTTCTTGGTTGTTGCAATTTTTGCAAGTGTATGTTGTTTAATTATAATTTTCTCTGGTTATTTTGACTGATATCGTTTGGGGTAAAACTTTTAATCCTTGTTACTTGCTGACTTTTTTTGGTCTTCCTTATTTGTAGGATGATTTAACTCATCAGCTGGCTATGATCATCAGGCACAATGAGAATCTTAAGAGACAGGAGAGGAACGGATCTCCTGCACATATTATTTCTGAGTTTGCTCAGTTATTGCAGTTCCACATTGCAACATATTTTGATAATGAGTTGCCTGGACTGCCAAGGGTATTATAGGAATTGAACATTTACTATGGATATATACTTCCTGTAATCTTCATCAGCTTTTTAATTTTTGGTGAAGTATTGATTAGTTGCTATTTATTTTTGCAGGCTACTCAAAGATCCGGAAGGCCTATCAAATCAATATGTAGCAGGCTCAAGGCAAAAGAAGGACGGATTAGAGGTAACTTGATGGGTAAAAGAGTTGATTTTTCAGCTCGAACAGTCATTACACCTGATCCAACAATCAACATTGATCAATTGGGAGTGCCGTGGAGTATTGCTTTGAATCTAACATACCCTGAGACCGTGACTCCATACAACATTGAAAGGTTGTGTTTTGGTATGCATTTCCTGTTGCAATTGGTGCATTCTCTTCCATTTTTAACAGAAAATATTTGAAATCAAAAAAATCAGGTTGAAGGAACTTGTTGAGTATGGACCCCATCCTCCACCTGGAAAAACTGGTGCCAAGTACATCATTCGAGATGATGGACAAAGGCTCGATCTCAGATATTTAAAGAAAAGTAGTGATCACCATTTGGAGCTTGGGTACAAGGTACTGCTTTTAAACAATGATGATATTGTTCATTTTGGTTTTCTCTCAGTGCCTTCTAATAGCTTTTGATGTTGTGGTTTTAGGTTGAGCGTCATTTGAATGATGGAGACTTTGTTCTCTTCAATCGTCAGCCTAGTCTTCATAAAATGTCCATCATGGGGCATAGAATCAAAATCATGCCATATTCTACATTCCGACTTAACTTGTCTGTAACTTCACCATATAATGCTGATTTTGATGGGGATGAAATGAATATGCATGTTCCTCAGTCTTTTGAAACCAGAGCTGAGGTGTTGGAACTTATGATGGTGCCTAAATGCATTGTGTCACCACAGTCAAACAGGCCAGTGATGGGAATTGTCCAAGATTCACTTTTAGGATGCAGAAAAATCACTAAGAGAGATACTTTTATCCCAAAGGTTAGACAAAGTGAATTTTTCTGCTGTTGCAGTTTATTTAAGCTGCATGGTTATTGTACAGACTTTTTTTATAATCTTATCAGAACTTTCCTTCTTTTTCTTAACTAGGATGTTTTTATGAACATATTGATGTGGTGGGAAGATTTTGATGGGAAAGTTCCTACTCCTGCAATATTGAAGCCAGAACCATTATGGACAGGGAAACAAGTTTTCAATCTCATCATTCCTAAGCCTATAAATCTAATTAGGTATTCTAGTTGGCACAGTGAGAATGAAAGGGGATCCATAACCCCTGGGGATACCATGGTCAGAATTGAGAAAGGTGAACTACTTACTGGAACACTTTGCAAAAAGACACTTGGAACATCTACTGGAAGTCTCATTCACGTGATTTGGTATGCAGCTTATCGTTATCGTTTTATATTGTCATTATGCTATTTTTAATAAATTTGTCGTTTTATTGTTTTATTAGTGTGTATAACTTATCGGCCACAATTCCGGCCACCACATCATGTGTGATATTTATAAGGCGGGTTTTTGGCTCAGCCAGATGCCACTTTTGGTATTTGATAACATTGCTTAATAGATGAATTGGTTTATGTAATAATCAATCTACCTCTACAGGATCAGGAGAGGGGTTGTTTCTATTAATCTAAACTCCAACTCTTAAGTGACTTTGTTGTTCTGGAAACTACTTCAATCGATTCCTTTTTTCTATGTTTACATCACTGAATGTCTACTTTAATACAGGGAAGAGGTTGGCCCTGATGCAGCTCGGAAATTTCTTGGGCATACTCAGTGGCTTGTAAATTACTGGCTTTTGCAGCATGCTTTTAGCATTGGAATTGGTGATACAATTGCTGATGCTTCCACTATGGAAACCATAAATCAGACTATATCAGCAGCTAAGGAGAAAGTGAAACAACTTATCAGGGATGCCCAAGAGAAAAAGTTGGAGGCTGAGCCTGGTCGGACAATGATGGATTCATTTGAAAACAGAGTGAATCAGGTTTAATTTGGAATGTTTTTTACATTGTTATAATATTAAAATTTTATTTTGGGTAAATATGACAAACTTCCATATGTGATAATTTCAGACACTAAATAGAGCTCGTGATGATGCTGGAAATAGTGCTCAAAAAAGTTTATCCGAGAGCAACAATCTGAAAGCAATGGTGACAGCTGGTTCCAAAGGAAGTTTTATCAACATATCTCAAATGACTGCTTGTGTGGGTCAACAGAACGTTGAGGGTAAACGAATTCCATATGGGTTCATAGATAGGACATTGCCTCATTTCACAAAAGATGATTATGGGCCTGAAAGTCGTGGCTTTGTGGAGAACTCATATCTGCGAGGATTGACCCCTCAAGAGTTCTTTTTTCATGCCATGGGTGGTAGGGAAGGTCTTATTGATACTGCCGTGAAGACATCTGAAACTGGGTACATCCAGAGGCGACTGGTGAAGGCTATGGAGGACATCATGGTTAAATATGATGGGACTGTTAGAAATTCTTTGGGAGACGTCATACAGTTTCTTTATGGGGAAGATGGTATGGATGCGGTTTGGATTGAAACACAGAAGCTGGATTCACTTAAAATGAAAAAGACAGAATTTGATAGGGTGTTTAGGTATGAATTTGATGATGAAAACTGGAAGCCTACCTACATGCTTGAAGAGCCTGTAGAAGACTTAAAAACCATCCGAGAATTTCGTAATGTGTTTGAGGCTGAGGTTCAGAAACTTGAAGCTGATAGATATCAACTTGCAACTGAGATAGCCCCTAGTGGTGACAGTTCTCTCCCACTGCCTGTTAACTTGAAGAGGCTTATCTGGAATGCTCAGAAGACATTTAAGGTTGATTTCCGAAGGCCTTCTGATATGCACCCAATGGAAATTGTGGAAGCCATTGATAAGCTGCAGGAGCGGCTTAAGGTTGTTCCTGGTGAAGATCTTTTAAGTCAAGAAGCTCAAAAGAATGCTACTCTCCTGTTTAACATTCTTCTTCGCAGCACTTTTGCAAGTAAAAGGGTCTTGGAGGAATACAGGCTTTCTCGTGAGGCATTTGAGTGGGTAGTGGGAGAAATAGAATCAAGGTTCTTGCAGTCGCTCGTAGCCTCTGGAGAAATGATTGGTTGTGTAGCTGCCCAATCAATTGGTGAACCTGCTACTCAGATGACTCTTAACACTTTCCATTATGCTGGTGTTAGTGCAAAGAATGTTACTCTTGGTGTTCCTAGGTTAAGGGAAATCATTAATGTGGCAAAGAGAATTAAAACACCTTCTCTGTCTGTTTACTTGAATGCTGATGTTGGTAAGACTAAAGAGAGAGCCAAGAGTGTGCAGTGTGCTTTAGAATATACCACTCTAAGGAGTGTGACTCAAGCTACAGAGGTGTGGTATGATCCGGATCCAATGAGTACAATAATTGAAGAG